GGTGGATCACCTGAGGATGGGAGTTCAAGACTAACCTGACCAACATGGAGAAACCCCATCTCTACTAAAAATACAAAATTACCAGGGCAAGGTGGTGCATGCCTGTAATCCCAGCTACTCGGAAGGTTGAGGCAGGGGAATTGCTTAAACCTGGGAGGCGGAGGTTGCAGTGAGCCAAGATCGCACCATTGCACTCCAGCCTGGGCAACAAGAGCGAGACTCCTTTTCAAAAAACAAAACAGAATTATAGACAGAGAGACAAATATTGGCTCTCCTCTTCCCTGTGGAATATTCCCTTTCTCTCTCTCCTGAACTCTTCCTAATTCTATTTTTGTCTTCTTTCTAAATTAAACTGGTGGCTGGGTGCAGTGGCTCACACCTGTAATCCCAGCACTTTGAGAAGCCACAATGGGGAGATCACTTGAGCTCAGGAGTTCAAGACCAGTCTAGGCAACACAGCAAAACCCCATCTCTACAAACAAAAAATACAAAAAATGAGCTGGGCTTTGTGGTACTATGCCTGTAGTCCTAGCTATTTGGGAGGCTGAGGCAGGAGGATCACCTGGAGCCCGGGGACAGGACTGAGACTGTAGTTAGTCGTGATTATACCACCACATTCCAGCCTGAGTGACAGAGATCCTGTCTCCAAAATTAACAAATCAAAGTAGTATACAAGTTTCTCACCCATCCCATATCATTCAAGAATCTATTCTAAGGGTACAAACGGCATATTCCTAATTCAAGGAGTAATAAATAGCTACTGTACATTTTGATCTTTTTTTTTTTTTTTTTTTTTGAGACGGAGTCTTGCTCTGTCACCCAGGTTGGAGTGCCTTGGCACTATCTCGGCTCACTGCAACCTCCACCTCTCGGGTTCCAGCAATTCTCCTGTCTCAGTCTCCCGAGTAGCTGGGATTACAGGCGCCTGCCACCACGCCCGACAAATTTTTGTATTTTTTTTTACTAGAGATGGGGTTTCGCCATGTTAGCCAGGTCGGTCTCCAGCTCCTGACCTCAGGTGATCTGCCCGCCTCGGCCTCCCAAAGCACTGGGATTACAGGTGTGAACCACAGCACCCGGCCATTTTGATAATTTTTTAAAAAATAAAACGAACGGCCAGGCACGATGGCTCACACCTGTAATCTCAGCACTTTGGGAGGCCGAGATGGGCGAATCATTTGAGGTCAAGAGAGCGAGAGCATCCTGGCTAACACGGTGAAACCCCATCTCTACTAAAAATACAAAAAATTAGCCGGGCATGGGGGCGGGCGCCTGCAGTCCCAGCTACTCGGGAGGCTGAGGCAGCAGAATGGCGTGAACCCGGGAGGCGGAGCTTGCAGGCAGCCGAGATCGCGCCATTGCACTCCAGCCTCGGCAACAGAGCGAGACTCCGTCTAAAAATAATAATAATAATAATAAATAATAATAAAACGATCAAATTTTTCATCTATAAAACCAGGATAATGACAAAATCTACTCTATTGAATTTTGGTGAGTACCTGCCATTGATGAGTCCCGGCAAAGTGCCTGATACATAGAAAGCACTCAATAAAGGTCAGGTATTGTTGTTATTATTTATACACCTCTTTTTTTCCCTGTAAGATTGTGAGCAACTTGAGAGCAAGAATCTTGCCCCTAGTGTCTGTTTTGAGCCTGTTTCCGTATGTAAAATGGGTATCATTACACTATCTACCATATATAACTGTACCAAACAAGATAACATACCTAAAATACTTAGCACCAGCATAAGACGCTCAATAAACATGAACGATTATTATCTCACACTTTTGTTTCTTTTTTTTTTTTTTTTTTGAGACGGAGTCTCGCTCTGTCGCCCAGGCTGAAGTGCAGTGGCCGGATCTCAGCTCACTGCAAGCTCCGCCTCCCGGGTTCACGCCATTCTCCTGCCTCAGCCTCCCGAGAAGCTGGGACTACAGGCGCCCGCCACCTCGCCCGGCTAGTTTTTTGTATTTCTTAATAGAGACGGGGTTTCACCGTGTTAGCCAGGATGGTCTCGATCTCCTGACCTCGTGATCCGCCCGTCTCGGCCTCCCAAAGTGCTGGGATTACAGGCTTGAGCCACCGCGCCCGGCCTTGTTTCTTTATAGAAACTGAAGAGCATCTTGCCTAGGTGACAGACCTGAGTGTGATTTCCAGCTCCTTCTAGTTAGGCGGGCCTAGGTTAGTTCCTGAACCTCAGTTTCCTCATTTCCAGTAAGAATGACGACACATATAACGCATATTCAGCATCGAACGCAGTATCCGGCACCCAGTGACTGCTCAGTAGATAGGACGCCAGCTCCCCTTCCCATAGCTTCTACTCTTCCCCTCAGAGTTACCGGTTCTTGGCAGGTAGAAGGCCTGCAACTTGGCAAATTGGGTGGAAACAGACCCTGGGGTGAGAATTTCCCAAATTTGCATTCGCATGCATCTCCCAATGCTCCAGCATCTACTAGGACGTCTCGCGGGGACTCCGGCCTCCTTGGGAGCTGCTCAGTTAAACTGCTCCGGGCGAACTTTCCCTCCGCCTCTCCCACACCTGAACCCTCGCCGCCCGTCCCTGCGCACCGCTCCTCCATATCCCTCAACAGCACGCTCCTTTCTTCCGTCCCTCCCACCCTCTCCAAGCCCCATTTTTCAACCTTCTTCAGACCCCAATCCCTCTTGCCTGTGAATCCCCAATGCTGTTCCCTCTGTCCCCGACTTCGCTTCCAGCACCTCCGGGTGTCCCCCAAACTCCTCCCGTCTTACTCCTCCCGTCTTATACGCCTCCAGGCCCTACCTTGTCCCCAACGCCCTCTCATCCCCCAGCGTCCCACCTGCACTTTCCGCCTCTTTAGCGCCGCCGCGTCCAGCCACACGCCGCAGGCCTCCTCCTCGGGGCCTGTCCGCCTCATGGCCGCTGAGGAGACCAAGCCGGCAGGACGCCGGCTCACGCTGCAGACACCTCAGCAAACGCCACTGCCGCGGACGTTCGGATCTCGCGCCAACGCTGGGGGCGGGGCTACGTCGCGACTGCCCCGGGCGTCAGCTCCGCCCCGGCAAGGCCCCCGCCCCCAGCAAGGCCCGCTCCCTTCGCTGTGCCCCGCCCACTCACTAACCTTCGCCGCCGGTCCTTGAGTGCTTGCGGCGCCTTTCCCTGCGCCGAGGAGTGCGTTTTCTTTCTGATCTGTTCATTCAAGAGCGGATTTCGGAAACTGCTGTGTGAACGGTTCTCCACAGCCTCAGAAACGTACATTTTCTTTTTGCTGCATTGAAAACTTCTTACAGTAAATACAATAACTACCCCGGGCTTAGGAATTTGTTCGTGTCATCGCTGAATCTTCGCGATCACCCCAAGAAGGAAGTGGCTGATACGAGATCAGGCCCGTAGGCTCCAGACCAGGGGTCCTCGCCCTAAGTGGTTACTAGACACTCGAGTGTGCGAACAACTTTGGTAATTTTTTTTTTTTTAATGTAAGCGTAACTACGAAGCCACATGGAAGAGGATTTTGAAAAGGTTAAAATTTGGGGTCCAAAACTAGCTTTCAGTCCTGCTTTCACTGTTTACTGTGCCTTGGATTTTAAAAGAGGATCAAATGAAGTTTGTGAAAGCACTTTGTGAATTCAGAAAACCCCTTGGAAATGCAAAAATGCTGGCACCCCACCCATCCTTCTGTCCCTAACCACAATCTACATAGATGGAATATATGTATATTATATGTAATTTTTACATATTGTGTGTGTATATATATATATATAAAAATTTTTTTGAGACAGAGTCTCTCTGTCGCCCAGGCTGGAGTGCAGTGGCAGGATCTCAGCTCACTGCAGCCCCGCCTCCTGGGTTCAAGTGATTCTTCCGCCTCAGCCTCCCTAGTAACTGGAAGTACAGGCACACGCCACCACACCCAGCTAATTTTTGTATTTTTAGTAGAGATGGGGTTCCACCATATTGGCCAGGCTGGTCTCGAACTCCTGACCTCGTGATCCGCCCGCCTTGGCCTCCCAAAGTGCTGGGATTACAGGCGTGAGCCACCGTGCCCGGTCAAAAATTTTTAAATTTTTTTTTGTCGGGGGGAGGATCAGAAGCTCAGCCACCTCTTGCCCAGTCTGCAGCAGGTCAGCCAGGAGCCTCACCCATCTCTGCAGCCAGAGCCTGTCTTCACTGTGGACAGAGCCATCTCGCTTTGTCCCCCAGGGACAGTCTCGCTCACTGCAACCTCAACCTCCTGGGGTCACGTGATCCTCCCACCTCAGCCTTCCAAGTAGCTGGGACTATAGGTGTGCACCACCACGCCTGGCTAATTTTTGTGTTTTTAGTAGAGATGGATTTTTGCCATATTGGCCAGACTGGTCTCAAACTCCTGCCCTCAGCTGATCTGCCTGCCTCAGCCTCCCAAAGTGCTGGGATTACAGGCGTAAGCCACTGCACCTGGCCTATATTAAAATATTGATATACACATATTTTACGTGTGTGTGTGTATTTCGTAAGGTCCCCCACGATATTTTAGCAGTGAAGTGAAATTTCTAATTAATTTGGGTTTTCTTATCTTCCCAATTTTCCTTCATTGTATATATATTGCTGTGTACTATGGAAAAAGCAATATTATAAAAGTTAACATAACATACTCCTTTGGTGCGCATGCGAGGGGGCTCAATATGCATGGTGGAGTGTGCACGCCTCTGCCCCCTTCAGTAAAAACAAAAAAACCTTCCTTAATTGAAGAACAAACAAAAGTCTTTGTCAGATTATAAAGTGGGATTATATATATTTTAAACACATTTTAACTACTTCTAAAACTTTCGTAATAAAACTGCCCCCTACTCCCTTACCAAACAAATTTTGTATATATAGATATGGTATATAAGGCCCCAACCCCATCCCCCAGCAAAGATAAAACAAGAACTGCTCCCTCCACCCTATGTCCACTCCCAGGGGCCCCAACTTCCTCCGAAAACCTCCTCCAGTAATGTGAGCAGGGGCCCCTCCCTGAACAGGAGACAAAAAACAAAGAGGCGGCTACTGTCACAGTCACTTTATTGCATCCAGGCCATAATCCAGACCACCCCAGCCCCAGCCCCACTTTTCCTTCCGCACCTCTGGGTCTCTGCACAAGTTTCCCTCTGCCTGGAATGCCCTTCCTATTCTCCATCTGCAAACTCCTATTCACACTCCCCAACTCAAGACCCTCAGGGTCCCAGGCAGCACAGGTTAATCCCTCCTCAGCACTTCCCTTGACAGTTCATTCTGGTATCAAAGCCTTTGTCGGCCAGGCACGGTGGCTCATGCCTGTAATCCCAGCACTTTGGGAGGCCAAGGCGGGCGGATCACCTGATGTCAGGAGTTCGAGACCAGCCTGACTAACATGGAGAAACCCCATCTCTACTAAAAATACAGAAAATTAGCCAGGCATGGTGGTACATGCCTGTAATTCCAGCTACTCGGGAGGCTGAGGCAGGAAAATCACTTGAACCCAGGAGGCAGAGGTTGCAGTGAGCCAATATTGCACCATTGCACTCCAGCCTAGCCAACAAGAGCAAAACTCCTTCTCAAAAAAAAAAAAAAAAAAAGTCTTTATCATCTTGCATTGATCCTCAGGGCCCAGCGGTGACCTGCCTCTGAGCAGAGGCCCAGGCCATTTATCCATTCAACACTGAATAGATAAATGAATCCTTAACAAGGGAACCAGGAAAGAAGCTGGGAACAGGCTGTGTGGGACACAGAAGCCAGAGCTAGAAGATCTGGGACTCACTGTCTGGGATGGTGACTGAAGGGGTATGAAGCACTGGATGGGACCCATTTCTGTCTGGCACAATCTACTACCTTTGGGGTCTCTCTGCAGCGCCAACACTTGTGGCTGGGCTTCAAGGGACAGTAAGATCCTGCATATATTTTGGGCCTGCCCCTTCCGCATCCAGCAATGAAATCTGAGTAGAAGTGGGTTGCCAAGGCCTACTCTGGCTCAGCTCAAATCTGACTCTGGCCTAAGTTTCACCTCCTGCCTAGACAATCTAGAAGCCCCAATCCTCACCAAGCTGATCCCCAGCCTCACCCCAGTGAGTGGCAGTGGAGGGGCAAGCTGGAGTGGCCCACATCTTTAACTCTTTCCCTCTCCCTGGACAAGGAGCTGGGGCAGGCCCAGAAGTGGACCCCAGCAACTCCCAGCCAATCCGTAAATCCAAGAATTGGCCAGTGACGCCCTTGAGTTGAGTGGTGCACAGAGAGTCACTGTGGGCCAGACACAAACAATTTTACCAGGACTTGTTCCCACCTGGAGCCAAGCCCAGACCCCTGTCCCCCGACAATACCTCCCTCCCTACTAGATGCCAGCCCCCTTCACTTGGTCTTCTGATCAAGTCTGCGCTGTACCAGCTGGCTCAGGAGGAACGCGGTGAGGACGCTGCTGCCCACCGTGAGCAGGAAGAGACCAGAAAAGTTGTGAGGCCAGTGCATGTGCAGAGGCTCATAGATGGGCCGTCGGGCCTCATAGTCCAGTGCCACAGCCTCCAGCTGAGCCAGCGTGCACAGCACCAAGAAGATGTGGAAAAGTTGGTGGCCCTGCCCGAAGACATGGCAGCTGCCAGGGAACCAGCGCTCGGGCATGAAGGTAGAGAAGAAGGCAGCAGCCAGCAGAAAGAAGACCACCTGGCACTTGTGGTAGAGAAGAGCTGGGTCATCTATGGCAGGGTCGGAGGACACGAAGATACGATGCACCACAGGACTGATGTCCAGTGCGTAGGCCAGGGCGGAGGGCACTTCCTGGCATGTGCGGCCCAGCAGGCCTGGTTTCTGGATGTATTTGTTATAGCAGGAGCCAGTGCAGGAAAGCCAGGCGAGAAAGGCAGCCATGGGCAGAAAAACGGCCTGCACCCGGGCATGCCAGGAGGGCTCGATAGCATAGTAGAAGTGTGCCAAGGCACTACCAAACTGGTACACGGCCACCCCCACGTAGTCCAGGAAGAAGAAGCTATAATGCCAGAACTCGGACTTGGCCTGCAGGAGATGAGCCAAGGCACTGAAGGAGAGATAGGTGAAAGAGGCAAGGACAATGATGAAGAGGGGCAGGGCGTGTGGGTCTCCCCAGAAGTCCACAGTCTCCACAAAGAGGGCCAGTCGCAGCAGCAGCACCAGGGCCGCCAGCAGGTGGGTCCAGACATTCACGGCCTCATTGTGCTGCTGGAACAGTGTGCGGAAGTAGAAGCGCCAGGTCTGATGCAGCGGCCGGTAGCCCGCATAGATGTACGGCTTCCAGAAGAGCGGTGGCACCTCAGCTCGGTCCACCGTGAAGACAGGCTCTGGCTGCAGAGATAGCTGAGGCTCCTGGATGACCTGCCGCAGACTTGGCAGGAGGTGGCTGAGCTTCTGGGCCATGGCCATGGCTGTGGGCCTTGGCAGGGAGCTGGGAGAGAGACCAGAGCAAAGTCAGGGGCCTGGTGTCCTCACCCCCATGAGCAGCAGCTGGGGGGCTCTGATGCCCAAATCCTACTCCCTCCTCCCCAGTGGCCTTATCCTTACACTGGGTTTAAGAATAGAAGACTTGTCCTATGGAATTCCTCATTTCTGACCTCATGAGAGCAAGGATCCCAGGTACCTAGAACAGTGCCTGACACATAGTAGGTGCTCAATAAATGTCTAAGGAATGTATTAATTAATAAGGCTCCCTGCCTCGTTAATTTCCTTTTCGGTCCAGGCTCTACACAGCAGCACCAGCTGTTTTCTCTCCTAAAGAACAGATCTGGCCATGTGAAACACATGACAGGGGTCAGGCTCTCTCAGCCCCTGTGTTCACGCCACCATTAGTGTTCATCTGGTGGCAGTAATGACCTTGCTAACAGACCCACTGCCTCTACCTATCTAGCTCCTCGAGAGTGGCCAGGGTCCCCTACTGACCCTCCACTACCCTGCATGACCTGGTCCCTGCTACCTTCTCCAGTCTTGTTGTGTAACCACAGTGCACTTCAAATCCAGTCACAGTGCCACCAACCCCTGGACTGCGCTTTCACATGTCTGTAGCTTTATACAAGTCGCTCCCTCTGCCTGAGACATTTTCCTCATCTCGCCTACTAGGCGAACCCCTATTCATTCCTCAAAAACCTATTTCTTGGCTAGGCATGAGGCCTCACCCCTGTAATCCAAGTGCTTCGAGAGGCCAAAGCAGGAGGATTCCTGAGGCCAGGAGTTCAACACCAGCCTGGGCAACATAGTAAGATCCTATCCCTACAAAAAAGTTAGCCAGGCGTGGTGGCATGTGCCTATAGTCCCAGCTACTGGGGAGGCTGGAGCAGGAAGATCCCTGAGCCCAGGAATTGGACGTACAGTAAGCTATGATCACACTACTACACTCAAGCTTGATCAAGTTTGCTCTCAAGCAAGATCCTGTCTCTTAAAAAAACAAAAAAAACATTTCTTCTAAGTTGCTTTCCCTGGCCTCCTGAACCTCCTACGATGACCCCTCCACTTGAGTGCTTATCATCAGACCATCCTTTGACTGTTATCACACTTCTCATGATTGTTCATGTGAGCTCATCAAGGGGAGGCAGTTTGTCTCATTATTTTGTGAATCCCTGGTGCTTAGCAAGTAGCTGGCACTCAGTGTTGCTGAATGAAAGAACAACATGGCCAGGCACAGTGGCTCACATCTGTAATCCCAGCACTTCGGGAGGCTGAAGCGGGAGGATCACCTGAGGTCGGGAGGTCGAGACCAGCCTAACCAACATGGAGAAATCCCGTCTCTACTAAAAATACAAAACTAGCCGGGTGTGGTGGCACATGCCTGTAAGCCCAGCTACTTGGGAGGCTGAGGCAGGAGAATTACTTGAACCTGGGAGGCGGAGGTTGCAGTGAGCTGAGATCACACCATCGCACTCCAGCCTGGGAAACAAGAAGGAAACTCCATCTAAAAAAAAAAAAAAAAAAAAGAACAACATGACACCATTCTGATAATACTTCATATCCTTCCAGGCCCAACTCAAAAGACCACTTTTTTCCTGAAAGTACCCAGTTAACAACTGATGAACCATACCCCCACTCTCAAAATCCCCTCTCCAGACCCTCCCCCAACTGCCCATGGTTGCTAGTTCCAAATAAATCCAATATAATCCCTTACCCTGGCATTCAAGGCCCACATGACCTGCTCCTACTACCCTCATTCCCCACCTAACCCCAATGTCACACCCTGTGCCACCTTCCTTTCCCTGCACTGAAATCCTTTAAGGCCAGTACAAGCTGCCACCTCTGGGGCCTACTTACTGCTCCCCCAACCCCACTTTCCCCTCACCTATAATGGGTTACACAGTTTAACCTTGATTCATTCATTTAGCAAACACTTACTGAGCCCTTCTTTGCCTCAAACCCTGTGCTGAATGGGACAAGGAACAGAATGGAAGATTTGATCCCTGCCCTTATGAATGTCATGATCTGGCAAAAGATATAGAAACAAAAACAAATCACAGCAAATGCTCACACAGCACCTGCTAGAAGCTTCCCAGCAACGCTGAGAGGCAGACACTATCATTATTCCCATTTTCCAGGTAAGGAAACTGAGGTACAGAGAAGTTAAGTGCCTTGCCCAGCCACCTAGCCAGGAAGTAGCAGATGGCACAGGCATGCTCTGAACTCAAGTCTGTTTTTTTGTTTGTTTTTGTTTGTTTGAGACAGAGTCTTGCTCTGTCACCCAGGTTGGAGTGCAATGGCTCAATCTCGGCTCACTGCAGCCTCCACCTCCTGGGTTCAAGCAATTCTCCTGCCTCAGCCTCCCAACTAGGATTATAGGTGCCTGCCACCACGCCCAGCTAATTTTTGTGTTTTTAGTAGAGACGGGGTTTTACCACATTGGCCAGGCTGGTCTCAAACTCCTGACCTCAGGTGATCCGCCCGCCTTGGCCTCCCAGAGTGCTGGGATTACAGGTGTGAGTCACAGCACCCGGCCTTGTTTTATTTTTAGATTACGTCTTGCTCTGTCCTCCAGGTTGGAGCACAGTGGTATAATCACAGCTCACTGCAGCCTTGACCTCATGGACTCAAGCAATCCTCCTATCAGCCTCCCAAGTGGCTGGGGCCACAGGCACATGTTCCCATGCCCAGCTGATTTTTTTTTTTTTTTTTTTTTTTGAGACGGAGTCTCGCTGTGTCTCCCAGGCTGGAGTGCAGTGGCGCAATCTCGGCTCACTGCAAGCTCCGCCTCCCAGGTTCACGCCATTCTCCCGCCTCAGCCTCCCAAGTAGCTGAGACTACAGGCGCCCGCCACCACGCCCGGCTAGTTTTTT